ACTAAGTGGTGTTTTATTAACAACATCCCACAATTTCTAATATTTTGTGTTTTCAACTTCAGTTAGGTCAGCAATTTCCCTTTCATTTCTTCTTTGACCCATGAATTATTTAGCAGTGTGTTATTTAATTTCCAAATATTTGGGAATTTTCCAGTTATCTTTCTGTTATTGATTTCTAATTTAATCCCATTTTAATCATATTATTTAATTATACATGTGTTATAAATCTCACAATACATTATAACTACGTTTATTTAAAGTGTCAGTCTTTAAAGCAGATTCAATATTTTAAACCTTACATATTTACCCATAGTTATTATTTCTGGTGCATTTCATCCTTTTTATAGACCCACATTTCCTTCTAATATCATTTCTTTCTTCCTAAAGAACCCCCTTAACAGTTCTTATGATAAACATATAATACAGCATTTGTATATCTTAAAATATCTTTCGTTTATTTTTATTTCTAAAAGATATTTTTCTGTATATAGAATTTTAGGTTGCCAATTTCATTGCTTCGGTATTTTGAAGATATTGCTTCACTTGCATAAATAATAGTAGGTAATGTGCTTTCATCCTTATCTGTGTTATTGTATAACATGTATCTTTTTCTAGAAACTTAAAAAAAAATTTCTCTTTATCACTAGTTTTCAGAAATTTGATTAAGGGGTGACTAAGTGTATTTTTCTTCATATTTTTAGCGCTTGGATTTTATTGACATTCTTGGGTTTATAATTTCATGAAATTAGTAACATTTTTAACAATATTTTAAATATATATTTTATGGAACATCCCCTTCCCCATTTCTTTGCTTTTGGTGCTCAAGTTAACACTTGAAGTGGTCCCAGAGCTCACTGACGTTCTGTTCATCTTTTAAAACTATTTTTTTTAATTCTTTGTTTCATTTTTTAAAGTTTCTAATGTTAAATCTTCAAGTTCACTTATCTTTTCTTCTGAACTATCTAATCTGCAATTATTCAGTCCTAGTATATTTTTCATTTCAAACCGTGTCATTTTCATATTGAGAAGTTTGATGAGGTTTTTTTTTTTTAAATAATTTCTATTCCTCTAATATTTTGAATATATGGAATACCATTTTAATAACATTTAATATCTTAATTTTCAAATTCTAAATCTGTGTCAGTTCTGAGTTGGTGTCAATCAATTGATAATTCTCCCCATTGTGAAGAATAATGAGAATATTTTTCTGCTTTTGCACATGCCTGGTAATTTTTAATGAAATGTAAGACATGGTGAACTTTACCTTTTTAGATTCTGAATATGTTTATACTCCTATATTCATGAGCTTTGGGCTAACAATAATTGGATCCTTCCCAGCAGGACTTTTAGGATTTGTTAGTTAGGTTCAAAACAATGCACAGTTTAGGGTTTTCATTATTCCCCCAATAACAAGGTGACATTTTCCTCTATATTCTCTCCAGAGGCTCCTGGATTATGAGTTTTTAAAGTCTGAATGGTGGAAAAAGAGTTACTGTTTCCTTTAGTCCATTAGGAGGTTCCTTCCTGGTCCCAGGCTATTTCCTCGCATATGTGTGCTAACCAGTACTAAACTACATCCTTGAGGAGGACCCCTACAGACCTCTGCAGTCACCCCTCCAAGTGCTGGTGAGGATGAGGAGAAAAAGTCACCCCTCCAACTTCTGGTGGGAATGCAGACTGGTACAGCCACTGTAGAGAACAACATGGAGTTTCCTCAAAAAACAAAAAATGGAACTCCCCTTTGACCCAGTAATCCTACTTCTAGGAATATATCCCAAGAAAGCAGAAACACCAATCAGAAAGGATATATGCACCCCCATGTTCATAGCAGCACAATTCACCATAATTAAAATTTGGAAACAGCCTAAGTGCCCATCAGCAGAAGAGTGGCTTAAAAAAATTTGGTATATCTACACAATGGAATACTTACTACACTGCTGTAAAAAGGAAAGAGCTTTTGTGATTTGCAACAGCATGGATGAACATGGAGAGCATTATGCTAAGTGAAATAAGCCAGTCAGAGGAAGATAAATATCACATGATTTCACTCATTTGTGGAATACAATAAAAAACATAAACTAATTAACAAAAATAGATTCAGAGACAGAGAAGCATCGAACAGACCATCAAACCTCAGAGAAAGGCAGGGGAGGGGGGCAGGGGTAGAAAGAGATCAACCAAAGGATTTGTAGGCATGCATAGAAGCATAACCAATGAACAAAAACAGTAGGGGGATGAGGGCATGTGCTGGGGGTGGGAGTGGCCGAGGAGAGGTCAATGTGGGGAAAATGAGACATATGTAATACTTTAAACAATAAAAAATTAAATAAATATATAAATAATAAATAAAGTTTAGATCCAAAGTCTCATTTAAATATAACCTAAATGAGTATGGATAAAACTGAAGGTATGATTCATCCTGTGGCAAACTGCTCTCCCGCTTAGAACCTGTGAGATCAAATATGTTACATGCTTCCAAAATACACTGGTGAACAGGCATAGGACATTCCCATCCAATAGGAGAAAGAGAGAAGTAGAAAGGAAAGAGAGGTTATAAGCAAGTTTAAAACCCAGCAGTGCAATTCCATTAAACTTTAAAGCTCAAGAATAATCCTCTTTGGCTTGATGCTATGCCATCCAGGCCACTAGGGCAGTGGTCCAGCCTGCAGCTTTGCTGGACAGAGGTTGGGGCCCCAAGGGCCCAGACTAGCCTGCCCCAACAGCTTTGAGCAGCCCTCTACCCACTGTGGCTCTCCAGGATTGGGGTCCTGAGACCACTTCATCCAGCCACTGGAGCAGCACCTGGGACAGCCCAGTTGCTCAGCATCCGAGTGCAGGGAGAGGAACCCACCAAGGGAGGTGGTGTAGAGATGAGCCAGGTCAAGAAGACATCAACAGCCCCTCCTTTTCATTTTCCTATTGTCTTGGACAATAGCTCCTGGCTTCTGTCAAGATGGCTTACTCTTCTCCTTATCAAATGGTCTCTCAGCAACACCCTTAGCGTCCTTTCCTGAACAGGCTTTCTCATTCTTTTCAAGATGAATAAACTGAGAATTCTCCAAATCATTAAGTCTTCTTACTCTCCAATTAACAATTCCATCTTTAAGTCATTTCTCTCTTCTCACATTTTACTACAAGCAGTCAAGAGAAACGACACTTTCATTAGAAATTGCTTCAGCTAAATATGTAATTTCATCACTTACAAGTTCTACCTTCCACAAAATACAAACACAGTTCAGACAAGCTCTTTGCCACTTTATGACAAGCATGACCTTTCCTCCGTTTCCAATAACATGTTGCTCATTTCCATCTGAGACGTCATCAGAATGACACCTTTCATATTTGCACCCACAGTCTGTTTGGATGAATCAAGTATTGTCTAAGAAGATAGGGACTTTCTCTACAGTTTTCCTTTCGTTCTAAGCTCTCATTGGAATTGCCTTCAAAAGTCCACTCATGGCCATGCAAGCATTTCTGATATGTAACCTCAAAACTCTTCCAGTCTCTATCATTATTAGTTCTAAAAACAAGTACCATAGATTGGGTGCTTTATAAACAACACAATGTATTTCTCACAATTCTTGGCGCTGGGAATCAGTGATCAGGGTGCCAGCATGGTGACTTCTTCTGGGGTGCAGACTTCTCACTGTATCCTCTCATGGCAGAGCAAGCTAGCTCATAATTCTAATAAGGATGCTAATTCCATTTGCTCCCATGACATATTCACCTGGCCCGTGGGGATGGGGGTGGGGTTGTGTGTGAATTTCCAACATGATGTTTAGACCTTGGCCAGGTTTTCCATTCATTCAATCATTCAACAAGTATTTTATTGAGCAACTATAATATTACAGGAGCTGGGAATATGACAGTAAGCAAGGTAGGGCAGATTCCACTTTCATGGAGCTGACATCTGAGTGGGGAATACAATATAATATAGGTTTATCTCTAGCCTAGAAAAACAAAGCTAGAACATAGTACACAAACCTAAAAGGAATTAGACTAATCAGACAAGAATATTAAGAACTTCTCCCAGGAAGGGTCACCTCTAGGCAAACCTGTACACACTCTTTTCTCTGTTCCCTTCTCTCCTGGAGTTCCCCTGTGAAAACCCCATTTTAGGAAAGATTACAACCAACTCAGTCACACTTGGATCACACAACTCAGAAGTGCCAGTGTTGTTACAGGTAGACATAAGGTAGCAGAAAGGAAATCCACGGACCCTCTTGGAGCCATATCGTGCATCTACCTCTAAGGAAACATCCGTCACACACCTGTACGAGGCTGAGTTAGGCAACAGTGAATATTTCATTCACTATGAAACATACAGAGCCTGGAGGAAAGTGTGCTGGACACTGTCTGTTTATCCCTCCAGATGTCTGTGACCCTTCTCCACCCAGCTCTGTGGCCCAGGAAGCTGGCCTTCAAGGTCTGCATCAGGGTTTTTTGTCTTCTGTCTTTGGTTGGGTTCAGCTAAAGGGAGTCACCACAGGAGAAAAGGGGGAGGAGGAGAGAGAGGGCCAGGTCTCAATTTCCCTGTTCCCTCCCTGCCTGGCTGCTGGCTGGCAGTGGCTGTGTCCTCTATCAAAAATCATGGCTCCCTATTAGGGGTCCTTTTCTATAGCCACAACCACAGTCACCCCTTACCCCTGTGTGTGCCCTTAGAGCAGCGGTCGCCAACCTTTTGAACCTCACGGACCACCGGTTGGCAACCGCTGCCCTAGAGGGCAAAGCTCTATGCTCAGGTATATAGTCTTCTCCCTGCCCTCTCTCAACTGCCCCATTCTAAGAAGCACAGGCTGCAAAGCCAGCACCACCCTCTGATCAGAGCTTCATTTTTAAGCTCCAAGGATTGAGGGGGGTTCAGAGGGCTGGTGAACATCCTATAAATGGTGCTTCTTTGCAAAACCAGCAGTGACTCACCAGCAAAACTCAGGGTGGTGACTAGTATGACACCAGCCCCCTGTGAAGAGAAGAAAAGCCTCTGAATGGCCATTGCTTACCTTTCTGTGTTCAGTGGAAGGATGTGAGCAGATGAGCTGCAATCCAAACAGCAGCAGGTAACCCAGGACTCTGAGAAGGAAAAACAACAACAGGCAGGACTGTGAGCATGTTCCAGGCAGCAACACCAGCAGAAGGCAGCTTTCCCATCTCATCATTGGAAGGGAGACACCAGTTCATCGCAAGGTCTGGGATGTGACCCAGTGAAGAGGCAAAGGGCAGCGGACTGTGGGCAGGGCTGTGGCACCGGACAGATCTGGGATCGAACCCAGCAATATCATTTACCAGCAGGGTTTCTAGGTCACTTAACCTCTTCGAGCCTCGTTTTCTTCCTTGTAAGATGGGGATAGCATGGAAGCTGGCCCCAAGGGTTGCAGAGGACTGAATGTGATAAAATGCCATGTCTGACACAGTAAGTGCTAGTGCACGCTGGGTGCTTCCAGAGCTGGAGCCGGGCCAGTGGAGTTCCTCTCCCACACCCAGGCTGTCCTTGGAGCCTTTTCCTTGCCAGTCCTTGGTCCTTGGTGTCACATATGCTCTCCCTAGGTGGGATTAGTTGTGTTAAGCCCCACTATCACCAGCCCTGATTAGGGCTTGTCATCAAATAAAGGGAAGGTGCAAAAATAGGTGCCAGCTGGCCCTGAAACAGAGGGTGTGCTGGAAGAGCGTGAGCTTTGGATTCAAACACATCGAGGCTAGAATCCCAACTCCGCCCTTCCCATCTGGGTGATGCTGGGTCAGCTGTGCCTGTGCCTCTTTGTGCTCATCTTCTGTGCGGATCTCTGACGCTGACTGAGGTGAAAACTCTCATACAGGCAGGCAGGCAGGCAGAGGAGATAAGTATTGTCAAGTAGTTAAATGCCCAAAGTCCCTTGATTTCAAACCAACAGCATTGTTTTAAGCATCCCTACAAAAGGCCTTTGGTCCTTTTGAGCTGCCTTGAATCTTTTCTAGAGTTTAACCTTGAGGACAGAAGTCAAGCAACCCAGTGGTCCTCAACCACCTTACTGAGATATATATATATATAGATATATATAGATATATATATATATAGATATAGATATAGATATATAGATATAGATATATAGATATAGATATATCTATATATCTATATCTATATCTATCTATATCTATATACAAACAACAATTTTCTTGTCCAAGAAAATACACTGTGTGAAAGTGGAGATGAAGAAGGAAACCTGTCTGAATCTGGGCTTAGGACTTATGGAGTTAGAAGAGGCTCCTACCATCTCTAAGAATCCTAAATTCTACCCAAATCCCCATTTTGTATGTAAATGAGCCTGGCCCTAACAGACCACACAGCATGGATATGGACAAACTGGTTAGAGACTGTGCTGGGGCAGGAAGCAGAGTGAAGGGACAGGCAACCAGGTGTTAAATACATCCTTCCTGCTGTTGTCTTTGAGCTGCAGCGAAGGCCCCAGCACAAGAACCAAGCGTACTCCGTGCACACACATTCCAAAGGGAAGGGCTGAAAGTCTATGAGGACTGAAAAAGGATGTGCACCTGCCCAAGATGTCTTCCAGCAAAGGGGCAGGGGTATCTAAAGGAGTGGGTGTGCATATGGAGGTAGAAAAAAAAAACAAACAGCTTTTTTTCTAATGATATCCTTACAGGATCCAATTTGTCCTGTAAACCAAGAAACATGTGCATCATGACTCAGGAGTCTATGTACTTTGATTATATGACCTTGGGCAAATCACCTCTGTGCCTCAGTTTCCTCATCTGTAAAATGGAAATAATATTGCCTGCCCTGCTGACCTCAAATAAGTGAATGTGCAAGAAAGCATATTATGAATCATGCCTACAAATCTGAATAATTTGTAACACATCCTGGCACTGTTACTCATTTTTTAAAAAACATAGCTTGGTGTGGTTTTGTTTAAAAACAAACAAACAAACAAACAAACAAAAACAGCAGCTCTATAAATGTGTTACAACCCAGGCCCTCAAAGTTTTTGGCAGACATCTATAATGTAACCAGAAGCAATTTTACATAACTGCTCATCCCAGATTGCACTTCCAAAACTTTCAGGGCACTTGAGGCAGGAGAGGGCGTGAAAGACTGGAGGAGGAAGAGTCTAAGTTCTTCTCCGTCTCAGAGGAACTGTTCTCCAGGCTGCCTGGTCAACTGTACTCTCAGATATTCCGAAGCTTGTTCCCTCACCTTCAGGTGTCTTATGGAGATAAGACCCCTGGCCCTAAAACACAGCACTTCTCTCCCAGGCCAGACAATACTTGTCTCCACAGCACTTATTATCTCACAGACAATGACTTTATTCACTTAAAGTACACCTCTGCCCACTGGAGTATAAGCTCCAGGAGAATCAAGAATTGTTTCATCTCTACTTTATCTCCAGCATTTAGCAGTGTCTACTATATAGTAAGAGCTCAATTCATTGAATTAATGAATGATGCTACATCATCTTGACAACCTTTGAAATGTTAAAATAAGTGGAAATAGTGTGAATTGCCATATTAAAAAAAATGCCCAAAGTAATTTGGGAAGTTTTTAAAAGCTCTCTCATGAAAATCTTATAAAAATCAGTTACATTTTTTAATTTCTATATGATGCCCCAAAATTCATTCTCATAGGATTGACGCAAGGTATGGCAGCAAAATGTTTGTTAGTGCTGCTTGTTACAAAAATGCAACATAGTAGTATTTAGATGTCCAAATGCTTCTTTTCTTCATCTAACTGGGCTAAAATGCCTAGGGGTACCCAATAAAATTCATTCTGGAATAAAATCTTAGTTACTAAATGGGCTCTGCTCTGAATGGAATAGAAGAAATCCCCTCACTGGGGACATTATTCTTTTGCTGCAATAGCAACAACTCTAGCCATATATAACCCTAGGGGCCAGAAGAAATTCCACCAAGGGCCGTAAATTTCCCACCCCTGCTCATAGACTCTGTTTCAGGATACCCGACCCTGCAAAGGTAGTCTGTAGCTGTGCCCACACCTTTTCAACACACCAACAATCTAGCCCAAATCCTTGTTCCTCCTGACCCAATTTGAAATTAATGCTCAGGGAATGTGAGAGCATGTGTGTGTCTGTGTGCATGTGCAGCTCGTGTGTTATTTCACTTTGATAGTTTGCTTTGGCAACTGCTCCCAGTTTGCAACGTTTTGACAGACTGAAGGCTACCAGGGCCTTTGGCAAACAAATCAGTTTCCTCTGAGCAGTGGGGGAAGTCACATTCCTACCAAAACGTTCTGATTCACCCTGTAGGAGAATTCCACACCAATCAGAAAAGAAAGAAGGAAAAAAAAGAAGCCATCTCCCCAGTGTTGTTCTAGAGTTTACATATGCCATCATTTCATCTCCTCGTGTAGAAAATGATTCTCATTGAAATTTGGTACGAGATTTGCATTATGGAACTGGGGCTCTAGACTTCTGCGTTTGCCTTGGCTCACCTGCCCACACCCATTCCACAGTCCTCAGCCCCAGGGAGGTGGGTCATGCCACAGCCCCTGACCTCAATTCCTTCCACTCCACTTGAGCATGTCAAGTCACAAAACAAGGAACACAGAAAAAAATCTTAACTTCTTTTCTTCTTTAGTTAATACAACCCAAGAAATATTCAGGGAACAACCTGATCACTAACAAAAGTATACCAACCTAAACAAATGAGAGCCAAAATCTTAACACTGACATGAAATCTGTACATACTGCACTCTGGAGATTAAAAAAGTTTGGTAAGCATGCATTTTACATCCTCAGCTCAATCATGTGCCTTCCTCAGACAGCAGTTAAAAGTAAAAAAAAAAAAAAAAAAAAAAGCAATGATATTGGTTAACGATACTTGATGGTTAGCACCAATGTCAATTCTTACAAGTAGTATTATTTCATTTAATCTACTACCATCCCATCAGGTACTTTCATTATACCCATTTTATAGGTGAGGAAATTGAGGCACAAAGAAGCTACATCATTTACTGAAGGGAAAAGCCTAATTCCCATGCCAGCAGTCAGATCCTTGGCCTGAAGCTTTAACCACTATGCTCTGGGGCCTCATTAGGAAACAACACATTTTAAACCAAGTATTCGCATTTGAGCACATCAATTTTCTTCCCCAGTCTTATAAGACTGTGGCTTCACACATCTTGTTTTACTTTCTGTCACTGCTTGCAAAAATAATCAGAAAATGAGTGAATGCAATAAAATCTCGTTTATCCAGCCTCCTAGAGAACATTAGAAGTTTTAAAACAATTGAAACTAACCATTTAAACTTCAACCTTGAACGAAAAATCATTCTATTTATTCCCTCTGCTTTCTCATACAACATATGCTAAGCTTAAGTAACCTTTTTTAGATGGGTGACCAGTGTGTATATCTACCAACCTGCGTAGCCTAAGGTTGTGGCCTTGGAGCAGAAAGGTTGAGAGCCTTTGCAGTTACCTCCCTGCTGTCAAGCATTGCCTCCTGGACTGTGGATGAGCCTGTGTACTCCTAATCATCTCTTTTCGGGTTGGCCTTGGAATCCTTTAGACAACCAATATTAGCCAAACCAAGACCATACAGACTCTGGAGAAATACCTGCCTGGCTTTTGGGAGGTAAATACTTCAATTTTAAACCATGGACTTTGGGACACCTATTCTGCATATTGGTTTTTATTGCTTATTTCCAGCTTATCCATTCTTGCAGCCATTTCTGTTTTCTGGACCAGGCAGGGCCTCTGGAAAAGTAAGGTGTTCTGTCCCGCATAGCTTTTCTGGGCATAACATCCTTTGGTAAATTTCCCTGTTCTCGAGAAAACATTTCTGATACATCTTTGCAGCTAGCAGAGCACTCAGCAGAGTCTGCACTCAGGAATAATAAATAGCAAGTGAATCAAAGAATGGCAGGGTAGAATGAAGAGGGGTGAAAGAGAGAGGAGGTATCGACCACTAAAGAAATGAAAGTGCTGCTGTGGCAGACACTTTTCATCAACAAAGTGTTTTCTAAGTGCATCCAGAATTCTGTCATAAAAAATAGAAGAACTGGGAAAAGGAACACAATCCTAAAAGGAGGATTTCTATAAGTTGGACTCATTGGTCCTCATCCCA